TTTAAAATGGTTTTTTTTTTTTTTTTTTTTTTTTTTTTGAGCCGGGCATGGTGGCCCACCCTTCCAGCACTTGGGAGGCTGAGGCAGGAGGATTGCCAAAGTTCAAGGCCAGCCTGGACTATATTGTGAGAACCTGTCTCAAAAAACAACAACAAAAAAAGAAAGGTGTTTTTGGAGTCAAAGGAAATATATCCTGGAAAAAAACAGTACTCTGGCCAGGCCAAACCAGAGAGCATGTGAGGCAAAGACTGTGGTCTGTATGCTGTTAGTTTCTGAGTAGATTCTCAGAGGAGACATTGTTTAGTAGGCCAGTGAGGGGAACAATCAGGGGGGGAAAAAAAAGGAGTCTGTCTCACTGCCTCCCAGTTTGCTCTCTGCCACTCAATACCCTAAGGCCCCCCCAACACCGTGACAACAAACAGTATCCCCACAACCATCTCAAGTGGTCCCATCAGAGCTGGTACTGCACAGGGCACAGCCCAGCCATGCTCAGTGGTCCCTAGGCGACAGCGAGGGCACCCGCTCCTCCTGGCATCGTCTGAGATCCCTGCAATTGAGGTGCCCTGGGACGAAGGCTCCTGTGACCAGCAGCAGCAACGGCACCTGAGAATGTGCTAGAAATGCTAGTTCTCCGGCTCTGCCCCAGATCTATAGTATCACAAATACAGGGGTGGACGTGTCTGAACAAGCCTTCCAGGGATGAGCGCTCCGTGGAGGGTGTGCACTGGGGGATGAGGGTGAGGTCAGGTCCCACACAGAATCTCCTCCCTTCCCCACCTCTACAGACCGGGCTGGACTGCAACTTTGTGAACAGCGAGCTGTAGCACTGGGGGGGATGACGCCCAACAGGAAAAGGACCCCAAAGGCAAGTTTCTTTACCTCTCAGGGCCTCACCTGTAAAACTGGAGAAAGGAGGAGAGACCAAACCAGAAGTTCTTGCCTAGAGTCCATGGAAGCACTTCAGGGACCCACAAACCACAAACCACCATTCTGCACATAGATTTCCTAGGTGGTGGGGCCACAGCTCACTTTGCACCCTTAGAGATGCCCTTAACATTACACATTACCAGGCCAGAGATCTTAAAAGTCCTCTTGAACTTTTGGTTTTGGAGGGTGGTGCTCGGGGTACAACCCCAAACCTAAAACATGCCAGGAAAGCACTCTACCGCTGGGCTGCATCCCCAGACCTCCTCTTGATCTTTAAAATCCTTTAACTCTATGGGAGAGGGAGGGAAAAAAAATTAGAAATTAATATTCGTACAAGCAACTATGAGCTGGTAAAAGGTAATTTGCCAAAGCCTACCAGGAAATAAAGGGAAAAGGAAGTCCAGTTCAGTGAGAGGTCAGTTCTGGCCCAAGGCTGCCCACAGAATTTTAGACCTTCTTGTCTGAGCAAAACAGAAAATTCCCTATTCTGTTTGCTGTTGCAAACATGCTGATTCCCCCTGGAGCTAATGAGAGTTCAGTAGCTATATCCAAGGGGTAGAAATTTAATAGCTTCCAAACAACAGATGCGTCTGTCAGCAGCAGGGGTCTTCTGTGAAGGCTCTTAGCAAGGAAAAGTGGGAAATGCCTGCTGGATTCAGCATCCTTCAAAGGTAAGAGCCAGCAGGTCAGCACTATGACTTAAACACCTCCAGGCTCCAGCAGGGACCGCCCAGGCCTCAGCTGACTATAGGATGGTTGGAGGGGGGAGAGGAGAGAGAGAACAGGAGAGCGAGCTGGCTGTCGCTGTGGTAACACAGCCAACACAAGGACCTTTTCCAGAAAGCTGAGTCAAAATGTTTCTCCTTGAATGATTTAATTCTGACGAGGATACATTGCTAAGTGCGTTTAGTCTGTAAACTTGGAACAATGACAACAAGCCACTGTGGACTGAATCACTGGGAAATGGCTTCTTTTTGCCGCTTTATCTGGGGCAGCAAGACCAGTGATTCTATGGGCTCAGCCCACAAGGAACCCTCTGCCTCTCCACCCCAGCCACCCAAACTAAACCTGGCCCTGAATGTCAGGGGGAGGCAGCAGAGGCCAAGGAAGAGGACCAGGCAATGACTCAGGGAAACAGCTGGGCATGGAGCAAGGAGCAGCAGAATTTTCCCCTCCTTGTGACATTTCCCTGAAATCTTAAGAATATGGGGAGATCTCCTGGGTTTTAAGAACCAAGCACAGGATGAGCTCTTTCCCAAACCTGCATCTTGTGAACCACGAGAAATAATCCCACAAAGCACTTCTTGGATGTCCTTTGACGTAAGAGATGCTGCATTTCAAGATAACCCCGCTCTTAGCTTTCTTGAGCCCTGGGTATTAACAACTACGACTCTTCTATTACATGGAATGAGGGACACACGGTTCAAAATGCTTCTCCTAGGG